TCTAATTAATGTCAAGATGAGATATTTTGTGAGAAAGGATTTGGTAGATATTATGAGAAAAGAAATATAATAGAAAGAAAAATCAAATGGAAAGTATATAAAGGAAAATAGATGGAAAGGAAAACATAAGGGAAAGAAAGAAAGAGAAGAGAAAGAAAGAAAGAGGAGAAAAGAGAAGAGAAGAGGGAATAGCTTGAAAAGCTCAAGGATCCGCTTCAAGCTTCGATTAAACCAAGGTAAGGGTGAGAAACATTGTTATCTGATCCATGTGTATGATTATGTATGTGTGGGTTTGGTTTGTTGTGAATTTCCACCATTTTTCAAGCTAGGGCAAAATGGATTTAATCGGTAGAATCGTGGTTTAATCGGTTAGAAACTAAAAATAATGCCGTAGAATAGTCGGGTGATGTGGGATTAAGATTACTGGAACTGGTTTGGTGAGAATCAGTCGATTTTTGGAGGGTAGAAGTTTTGGGACAGAATGAGGGTTCTGATATCGCAGGTTCGCTGGCTCTCGCCAGGTGAGTGAAGGAGAAGCCCAGCGAATAGCTAGCGAAGAATTTAAGAATACTTCCAGTGTTCTTCGCTGGCAAGTTCTCCAGGAAAAGGTGAGTGGCGAAGGTTCGCCAGGCGAGTACATCAGCGAAGGGTAGCGAATCAAGTCAGTAGCTATTGACTTTTGTTCGCTGGCGAGTTCGCCGGGCGAAGGTCCCAGCGAGCATTCGCCAATGGCTTCGCCAGGCGAATGGTAGCGAACTTGACAGAGTTTTCTTTTCTCTGTGGTTCCAATTTGCGTTGTTTTGCTTAGCTTGATGGTGTTTAAACCCTATCTGAGTGGCACATTTTATGTTATGATATGTTGTACTGTGGGTAGCCTTTGGGCGTGAATCCTAGATGATAGGATCAAATATGAATTGCATTCTTTTGACAAATATTTGTATGCATTATATTAACATGTTTAAAATGCATGATTATTGTGATGAATTCGTCGTCGTTTGGCACGATATTGTGAATGTATATTGATTGGATGCGATTATATGTGAACAATGCATGAGAACATATTGTGAATATATGCGCATTGCTTGATAGATGTTATAAATGCATATTGTGTGCATGTGAGTAAATGTGAAGAATGCATGGGAACATATCGTGGATATGTGTGTATTGTTTAATAATTGTGAGAAATGCATGGGAACATATCGTGGATATGTGTGCATTGTTTAATAATTGTGAGAAATGCATGGGAACATATCTTGGATATGTGTGAATTGTTTGATGATGTGATAATGGTATTGATAAATGAATACATTGATGATTGTTGTGATATGTTGTGTGTGCAATCATGTTATAATTCGTATGTGATGAATTATTTGAAATGCATGGGATTAAGATGCGGGAACGGTCTTAAGTGCATTTTGTTGGTTGATTGCATATGCATCATTTAGTCAAGAGGCAATGTTTGCTAGTTTCGTGGAGACTAGTGGCTTGTCCCAAACCTAGAAGGGTGGGTTTGAATCCTAGGGGACGGGCTTTGTTGTTATCGGTTTAGAAGGGTGGATCCGATTTAAATGTAAAAACTGAAAAGAATGATAACAAGTATTGGTACCACATGGCATGAGTTGCATTTAGTCACATGGCATATTTGTGATTGTTGTATGAAGCATGCGTGTGTGCATGACTTGTTGATTTGAGAGTGTGAATATAAGATTGTTGTATGAAAAAATGCTTATGTGTATGTTATGTGGATTGATGAGGACTATGGATATGTGCATGATGAATATGCTTGATGATTATCCATATTTGTTTATATAAGTATGCTTTGTAAAGTATATGATGAGTTATGATGAAGTATGGCGAGAATTGTGGAATATGCGTATGTGCATTACTTGTGTAATTGAGAAATGTGAATGTGTAATAGTGAATTGGTGGATAAAACATAACATGTGTATGTTTATGTGGGATGTTGAGATTTATGGAAGTATGCATGATGAAAATGCTTGATGAATGTCTATGTTTGCTTAGATGGACGTTGTGATGCATCTGATAATGGAATTGAGTTGGGGTGAGAAAATGTGGGTTATACGTATTCTATACTTGTGTGTGTGTGTTTGTGTATATATATATATATATATATATATATATATATATATATATATATATATATATATATATATATATATATATATATATATATATATATATATATATATATATATACACATATATATATATATATATATATACATATATATATATATATATATATATATATATATATAATTGTATGCATTGATTATTATGATAATATTTCTCACCCTTCTGCTGGAATGATGTCCTTTATGACATCGTGCAGGTATCTTGGTGTAGCACTGCTAGTAGTTGCGAGTTCGCTGTTGGTGCAGTTGTTTAGTATTTAATTATGTTGGGTCAGGTCATGCTCTGGTTATGTAACACTGGGATCATTGGGTTTAAGCCTTAGAGATATATTGTGTATTCTATGTTGTGTTTTAAATGCATTTGAAATATGTGATAATGGCCTTTGTGCCTAAGTGTTGATGATTATGTGATGATCATGAATATTCTGTGAAGGGATTTATGTAAATAAATTGAATCCGCTGTTACATGCAAGATGAAAATTTAATAGCATGACTATTTATTTCAATGTTACATGAGTATGACAGGTGAATGTTGAGATTTTGTAAAATTGTGTGACTCCCTTTTGTGAAAGCATGTTAATTTACTCTGATTAATTATGTATTATTCCGTGGGGTTAGAAGGGTGTTACACAATGCACACTAAGTGTTTGACTAATTGTGTGAACAACAAACGCTTGTGCTGTCTTTTTAATTTGGTTATACTTTTCAAGCATCGGAAATGGTCCAACCTCATAGTGAATAAATTCCGGTTGATGTGTGTTCAAATTAGTGATTCTTAATCTCGTTTTTATCGGATTCCATAGGCTTTGCGTATATCTGATTTTTCGGTAAATGTTCGTTTTAGACGAATATAGTTCCTCGGCCACTTCCGCCTAAAAAAATTTTAAAACCAAATATTAGTAGCGCCGACTCTGTTTTTAACAAGTGATCTATTCAACCCCCTTCTAGATCTGCACCATCCACTACAAGAAAAGTTGTGTCCAGCCACGTGATTTAGTGAAGTGAAAATCATGTGGCAAAATATAGACAGTTGTGAAGTGCTTTTCACGTCACTAACCTGTTTAATATTAAAATAATAAGAAACAAATGTAGCACATGACCTGTCAGATTTAAAAATAAAAAAAAAAAACTTTTGTGACGTGAAAATCACGTTGCAACATGTAAATTAAAAAAAATAATAATTAAAACGACAAATCTACTGAAGCGGGAAAGGGAAAATTTTCAAAATTTAAGTTGTGACGTGAATATCACATCGCAACCATTTAGAAGAGAAAAATATATGACGTAGAGATGATGGTTGACTGCACTGCAGGTTGACTGACAAAATAAAAATAACCTTTGGAGCTTTTGCGACATGAATATCACGTGGCAAAGTTGCGAATTGATATTCACGTCGCTACCAAATTAATGTGAATAATTAAATTTTAGTCGTCGTAGGTTGCGATGTAAATTTCACGTGGCAAAGTTGCAATGTCAAATTCACGTCACTAGGATTTTATTTATGACATGCGTGCCAATTCTCAGACAACACTTATTTCACTTTTTTTTCTTTCTCTTTCTCTCTGTTTCTTCTTCTTCCACAATTTGTTCCATCTTCTTTGTTTCCTCTTCTCCTTTGTTCTTCTTCTTCTAAATTTTTTCTTTATTTTTCTTGAGTTGTTTCTTCATTTTACTTCTTCAGGTAATATATATTTTCCCTTAATATGGTTATTATTAAATTTATTTTTATTAATTTAGTTTAAAATGTAATTTTATATGACTTTAATATTTGTTTTTTTTTGTGTCAAATTATCATTGTTACTGATTGAAGAAGGAGATTGAAGAAGATAATTGTCTAGAAGATTGAAGGAGTGTTAAGAAGAGGTATTTTTACTATTTAATTTTTTATTTTAGTTTGATTTATTAATTTTGAATTGTTGTTAGATGTATAATTTTTTATTGTTAGATGTATAATTTTGGATTGTTGTTAGATGTATAATTTTTTATTGTTAGATGAATAATTTTGGATTGTTGTTAACTAAATTTTATTTTAATTTGATTTATTAGTTTTTTATTTTAGTTTGATTTAGTTTAAAAACAGAATATTAATAAAATATAAAAACAGAAAATTAAATTTATTTTTAATGTCTTATTATTTTTAATATTTATGTGTTATTAAAAACAAATTTTTATATGTAGTAACAATATTAAAAACTAAATATTAACAATATTTTTAATTTTATGTGTTATTAAATTTATTTATGTTTTATTACTTTAAAAACTGAATATTAAAAACCAAATATCTTAATTTTAATGTTCTATAGAAACAATATTATATTTATATTATTACTATTATTTGTTATTAAAAAATGATTTTTGTTATTATTTATATTGATATTTTATTTATTTTTTGGTTATAAAATATTAAAAACAGAATATTAATAAAATATAGAAACAGAATATTAAATTTATTTTTAACGTTTTTTTTTTTTATTTTTAATATTTATGTTTATTATATAATATTTTTGTTATTAAAAAAGATTTTTATATATAGTATAAATTTATATATTAAAAATATATATGTTTAATAGGATATATAGAATAAATCTTTAATAGTTTATGTTTAATAATATATAGCATGTGTAATAGTTAAAATAAAAAAATATATATTTAAGAAGAATATATATTAAATAGTTTTGATTTGTAATAGTTATTGTTTAATAGTAATTTTTGGTAAATTTAATTTTATGTTAAGAATAATAATAAGTTAGTTAATACGTGTATTTAATATTTTATAAAAAATTTTGAAATTGATATTAAAATCACATCTGTAATTAAAAAATAATGATTGTATAAATATGCAGTATGGAGTATTATAGGTACTATCGTAGTTGGATGTACGATAGGTTGTATCCAGGAAGACGCAGACTTAAACCAAATTTTGAGGAAGGAGTTAAAGGGTCTATCACGTGGGCATTTTCTCAGGAATGTTGTCGAAACGAAGGAGGAGTTAGATATCCTTGTCTTAAATGTGGATGCAGACCTATAGTTAGTGACCCAGAGGAAGTAGAACGACATTTGAAGAGAAGGGGTTTCATTGAAAATTATTGGATTTGGACATATAATGGAGAAGAACTGTCGAGTAGCGTACTAGAGACCAGTAATACACATGCTTCAAGTAGTCAATCACCGATGGAACATAGGGAAAACTTTAATCTGATCAGTGAGATGGTGGGCGATGCTTTTGATGTGAATGTGACCTATGACAAACCTGAAGATTTTGATGGGGAAGAGTTGCTGAATGAGGAAGCGCAAAAATTCTATCAGTTGTTGAATGAGATGAATACGCCGTTGTTTGAGGGGTCGTCGGACTCAAAGTTATCAATGTGTGTGAGATTATTGGCTGCCAAATCAAATTGGAATGTTCCTGATCAGTGTTTGGAATTCTTCGCAAAAATGATGCTCGATTCGACTCCTACAAAAGACAACTTGCCTACAAGTTTTTATGATGCAAAGAAGTTGGTCTCAAAGTTGGGTTTAGAAGTAAGAAAGATTGATTGTTGCATTAGTGGTTGCATGGTGTTTTATGACAATGAGTTTGGTACTAATGATGGAACGTTGGAGGAATGTAAGTTTTGTAAGAGTCCAAGATATAAAGTTCGTAGTAAAGCCATTGACCGTAAGCAAAAACGTATAGCAGTGAAGTCCATGTTTTATCTTTCGATAATACCAAGGTTGAAAATAATGTTTACTTCAATGCACAGTGCAAGTCAAATGGCATGGCATCATACAAACAAAATAAGTTCAGGCAATATGCGACATCCATCTGATGGCGAGGCATAGAAGCACTTTGATCGCATACATACTGATTTTGCTGCAGAACCTAGAAATGTGAGGCTTGGATTATGCTCTGATGGTTTTACTCCATATGTCCAAGTGTCTGGAAGTGGGTATTCTTGTTGGCCAGTTATTGTAACCCCTTACAACCTCCCTCCTGAGATGTACAGGACAAAACCATACATGTTTTTGACCTGTATCATTCTAGGACCAACAAGTCCAAAAGCCGGAACCGATATGTACTTACAACCTTTAATTGATGATTTGAAGAGGTTGTGGATTGGAGAATGGACTTATGATATATCAAGTAAACAAAACTTTACTATGCGAGCTACCTTGATGTGGACTATTAACAATTTTCCAACATATGGCATGTTGTCTGGATGGGGTACGCATGGGAAAATTGGATGTCTGCATAGCATGGGGAACACCAAGGCGTTTTATGTTGGAAAAGGGGGGGGGGGAGTTCGTTGTTTGACTGTCACCATAGATTTCTACCAAGAAATCATCCCTATAGAAGAAACAAGACTTATTTCAAAAAAGATGAACGAGTAACAGATTTGCCTCCACCTCGATTGTCACTACGTGAAGTATGGAACCAAATTTGTGAACTACCAAAATTCACAGATATTGGTAAAACATGTAGAATTCAAGGATATGGGGTCACACACAATTGGACAAAAAAAAGTATATTTTGGGACCTCCCATGTTGAAAAGATAATTTATTGTGCCGTAATCTTGATGTTATGCATATTGAGAAGAATTTTTTTGATAATGTATTTAACACAGTGATGGATGTTAAAGACAAAACTAAAGATAATGAGAAGGCTAAACTAGACATGGAAATTTGGTGTAATCGAAAAGAGTTGGAGTTGAAGCGTCAACCAAATGGAAAATTGTTAAAACCCAAGGCGAATTATAGTCTAACTTCCCAAGAAGCTAAAGCGGTTTGTCGATGGTTAAAAGAATTGAGAATGCCTGATGGTTATGCTTCAAATTTGGCAAGGTGTGCCGACGTTAACACTGGGAAGTTGCATGGTATGAAAAGTCATGATTGCCATGTTTTTATGGAACGATTGCTTCCAATTGCGTTCGGTTCACTACCCAATCACGTGCTTAATCCACTAATTGAAATTAGTCAATTTTTTTAGAGATATTTGTGCATCAGCTTTAAGAGTGGATGACATCGTTAAGTTGGACCGAAATATTCTAGTCATTCTCTGTAAGTTAAACAAGTATTTCCGCCTGGTTTTTTTGATTCTATGGAACATCTATCTGTGCACCTTGCATATGAAGCTTTTCTTGGTGGCCCGGTTTAATATAGGTGGATGTATCCTTTTGAAAGGTTCATGGGTGATTCAAAGTGATCGGTAAAAAATAAAGCTAAAGTTGAAGGATCAATATGTGAACATTACTTGCATCGAGAAACATCTCATTTTTACAGTCACTATTTCAATCACTTGATGTTAACTCCAAGAATCATAAGGAATCCTATAAATGTTAACGAAAGAAGTCAATTTACCTTATCAGTCTTCGGGCTTCCTGGTCGTCCTTCTGGAAAGAAGGGTGTGCATTGGCTGACTCAAAAAGAAATGCAATCAGCACATGTTCATGTCTTAATTAACTGTGTTGAAGTTAAACCATATCTTGAGTAAGTATATCCCACTGTTTAATATTATTTACCGTATGAATACAAAAATTATTACCTTGAAACTTATAGTGTGTTTCTTTATAGGGAATTTAACATCTCCTACTTTCATAGCACCGGCGTACAAGCAACATCCGGCCACATACATGCTCATTTTCCAGCATTGTTCAAGGAGAAATTGTCATGTATTATTGCACCGACTCAAGAAATACTCCATTTGAGAAACTTGTTTAAAGGCCCTATTCAAAGCGCAAATGAATGGCATACATACTTCGTGAACGGATATAAATTTCACACTGAGACATGGACTAAAGGGAAAAAAACCATAAATAGTGGTGTATTTGTAAAATGAGTTACAGATGGTGGTGAGGATGACTTCTATGGATTTGTTAAGCATATCTACGAGTTGGTATACAATTATTTGGACTCAGAAAATAAAGTTGTCTTTATTTATTGTAACTGGTTGATCCATCAGCCAGAGGTACAAAAATAAATAAGACATATGGTAGTGTTGAGATTCGAATGAACCGAAGGTACAAAGAGTATGAACCTTTCATAATGTCACATATTGTTAGACAAGTTTAATATGTTCCTTATCCTTCAATTGTACCACGTAAATGAGGGTGGTTTGTTGTAATCAAAACAAAACCATTGGGTCATATTGAAATTGGCGATCCAATGGAAGATGTTGCCTACCAAGTTGATGAAGTTGAACAAATTAATGATGTGATTGCAGTTGAACAAATTACAAGTTTATCTAATACAACTGTCGAAGGGCATCAAGTTGATGTGTCTATATTGTTGGATGAAAATGACAATCACGACGAGCATGAAGAGTTTGGGCCCGAGGATAATATCACATCAGATTATGACAATGATATGGATGAACATGATTTTCAATAAATTGATTTTGTAATTTAACTTGATAAAACCTTGTATTGAATGTGTTATAAATATATATATGTGTGCGTGTGTGTGTGTGTGTGTGTGTGTGTGTGTGTGTGTGTGTGTGTGTGTGTATGTGTGTGTGTGTGTGTGTGTGTGTGCGAGCGCGTCTACGTCTCTGTGTGTGTGTGTGTGTGTGTTTTAAGTTTTATTAAGAGATGTTGTTCATGAATATATATATTAAATGTGTATTCTATATAAATAGGTAAAATGCCACCTCGAATTGATAAAAAAAAGAATAAGAAGTCCCAACGTCCGAGAGTAATAGTATTGAAGGTGAGAAAATACTTAGAAGGGGGGGTTAAATAAGTATAAAGATAAAACTTATAAGTAAAAACTCAAGTATTTTTATCCTGGTTCGTTGAACTCAACTACTCCAGTCCACCCTATCTAGAGTGATTTTCCTTTCTCAAACAAGGACTTAATCCACTATTTAATCAACTGATTACAATAGTAAGCACTAAGAACAACTATTCAAAGTCTTCTCAAGAACTTCTGATCCCAACCGGATCTTCTTAAGGAACTATTACAATAAAATGTAAGATTAATACAAGTGTATGAATGCTTCTAACAAGCTTTATCACAACATTGATATTTCACTTAATGTTAAGAACAAAATAATAAACTCAGCAATAAGAATATTTTATGAGAGCTTGTAAGAGTTTCTGTTTCAGATTCGTTGGTTGTAGATCGCTTGAAGAAGATGATGAAGACTTGCTTTTATATGCACAGTAGTCCACAAAGTCTTGACATTGGAGGTTGTGTACTGAAAAGGCCTGAACCTTTTTGTCTTTACATCACATGACTTTTCCTGGAAGTAGAATGCACAGAGAAATGCTTTTGGTCTGTGTTCTAGTGTCAAGCATGAAAGAGGAAAGAGTCGTTGAGCTAAATCAAAGGATATTACTTTGAATTCTTCTTCAACAAGTATTTCTTTTCAGCAAAGTTGATCATCAGATTTTGCATGATCAGAGTCTTGGATACCCATCAGATTTTGCTGAATCAGAGTAAGGCAGCAAGTGTGCTTTAGCGTGTAGTTCTATCAGAGCAGAGTTTTATGTATCAGATCCTCAGTACATGCAGCGTGTAGTACTCTCAGAGTCTTCTGCTTCAGATCCTTCTGTAGCTTCTGCTTCAGATCCTTCTGCAGATAGCGTTCAGATTCTTCTATAAGATGATTCTGACTCTTTAGAGCCTTCCATTGTTCCATGTTCAGATTAATTTTCTCTTGGAAGTATATATAGTTTAATTATCTGCAACAAATATTCATGAACCAATTTTAGAGTATATAATTCTTTAATACAAAATTTCATAAGAGTTATCATCAAAACATAGAGATATTACTAAGAAATAATTTGTGTTCTTACAATCTCCCCCTTTTTGATAATGACAAAACATGAGAAATTTTGTTCAATAATAAAAAAATAATAATTATAACTCCCCCTGAGATTAAGAATCTCCCCCTGAAATGAATACTCTAAGGAAAAGAATACTTCCCTTTTTGCTTGAGTGTATTTCAGAATCAGAGTCTGATGACATCTTTCAAACGCAGAGTCTGGTTAATCAGAGTCTGATGACGTCTTTCAAACACAGAGTCTGGTTAATCAGAGTCTGATGACTTCTTTCAAACACAGAGTCTGGTTTTGCATTTAGACTCAGAGTACAATTTGCTTCAAGAATTAGAGTCTGGTTGGGTAATTCTCAGGATAACTTCAATGGATTTATTTTGTCAGATGAAACAATAGAATCTGAAAGACTATCTGAAATACTTAAATTCACAGATAGTTAATAATATGTCTGAATTTTGTTTTAGTATTTGCTTATGGATTGAACAATCAGATTCTTTTTCTCTCCCTTTTTGTCATAATCAAAAAGATGTGTAAAGACAGAAAAGATAATAGAAGAAAAACACAGCAAACAATTTCATTCATTCAGATGGTTCACATAACAGATGATAACAAACAAACAAGAGAAAACAGATTCAAAACAGTAATGCAAAAACATGAAAAGAAACTAGGGTTGACGAGATGCAATCAGGGTCAGAAGATCTGTGATCTTTGAAGTAGACTCTTCTTGCTTGGCCATCCATGTCTTAATCTCTTCAGTGGTTTGTTCTTGTTTGATCATCCAGGACTTGATTTCCTTAACCTCTTTTACAAGTTCTGAATTTTCAGCCTTTACTTCAGGTGCAGATGCATCAATGTCCATATCAGATGCAACATCTTCAGATGTAGAGTCTTCAGCAGGAGCAGCTTCCAGAAGCAGCACTGGTGGTTTGGGAATGCTCATCAGAGTTTGTCTTACCAACTCAACAAACTTTGCCTTAGCATCTTCAGCATAGACTGTCTTGAGATGAGAGGCCACCACAGTGATCTTAGAGATAAATTTATCCCAAGCAGCTTCATACTTAGCAGGATCTATACTGAACAGACACTCTTCTTCCACACGTGTAATCCCCATACGAACTTCCTTTTTGAAATTATCAAACAGTTTATCAACACCTGACCTAGGGTTGGTGTAAAGAAATTCCTCAAGGGTCACTTTCTCAGTAGATTCAGAGTTTGGATGAGGTTGTTCACAAGTGATATTAGGAGGTGTTTGATCAAATGGTGGTTGGTCAGATGGATGAAATGCAGATGGTTGAGGTTCAGACTGTTGAGGTTCAGATGGTTATAGTATTGTGAGTTGAGGTGTAGGAGTTGGTGAAATTTCAGCTTCAGAGGATGAATTTTGAAAATCTAAGAGGTTGAAATTTGAACGAAGTGCAAGTCTATGATTTATTTGTTCAGGTGCTTATAGATCAGAAAATGCAGGTTTGAGTGGATCAGGAATGTGTAAACAAGTGGGTGATGGAACTTCTGATTCAGAATTAGATGATTCAGTGGAGTGGCATGAGGTGGATGACAGGACAACCATGGTTGCAAGTGGTTCCAGATCAAGAATGTCATCTGATGGTTCTGGAACATGTAATGGTTGTTCTATTATTGAGGGATGTTCAGATGGTGTTGGTTGGGGAGGTTCAGATGAGATGGGTTGAGATTGATGTTCTGGTGATTGTTGTTATTGTACTGGTGGTGTTTGTTGTTGTTGTTGTTGTTGTTGAGGTTCTGGTTGTTGTTGTTGAGGTTCTGGCTGAGATGGTTCTTGTTGTTGATGTTCTGGTTGGATTTTTGTTTGAGGTGGTTCAGATGGAGTTTGTACAGAAGATGGTTGAGGTTGAGTAGTTTGAGATGAAGGGGGTTCAGATGCATGAATTCCAGATGATGGCGGTACAGATGAATGTGATCTAGAAGGTGATGGAGGAGGTGAAGGTAATGGAGAGTGAATGGTTGGAGTTGGATCAGATGTTAATACCTGCTTGATAGTTTCTCTTATGTCTTCCAGACTAGCTTCTGGAGGAGTGAGTTTCACTTTCTTTACCTTCTGAGGCTTAGCAGCAGCTTCAGAGGCTTTTCTCTTTGGCTGAGCCTCAGATCCTTCTTCAACAATCTTCTTTGAGCGTCTTTCTCTAACAGGATTGGGCAGAACTTCTCCTTCCTTCTGTACTATGTTCACAGGTAGAGGAATACCTTCTTTTAAACACTCAGCAATGAATGTCAGAATGATGTGCCTAGGCTCATCAGCAGTGAACATTGGAAAATCTTCAACAGGAATCCTTCTATTGCTTACATCCTTAATAACAATTTTCTTGGGTTTGCTGGCAAGCTCTGTAATGACCTTCATCCTCTTCAGAGTATTGCCATTGATGACAGAACCTATGACATAAGACAAATCCTCTGTCAAACCAGTGTCATACATATATTTCACAAGACCATTCTCTGTTAGAATGTCTGATATCAGCCTATCCATAGGAATCCAATTCCTAACTTTTCCAGCTTTGACTCTTACATCTTCTCTTGTTTCCTTTACATGATTCAGAAGATGACTGAACAGAAGATAAGGCAAGTCCACCTTCTTTCCCTTGCTCATACAGAACATAAAATATAGTTGTTCAGCACTAACATAATCTGGGGAGTTTGATGATTTTCTGTGAAAGATGGAACTCATGAAAATCTTGGCCCAGATCCTGTAGACTGGCTTTAGTTCCCTCACTTTGCTAGTTGGTGTCCCAACAATAGTAACTTCTTGAAACACCTCAGCAAGATCCACACGAGCAGATTTTAGACTAGTTTCACCATCAGTTTCAGAGTAACCAATTAGTTGTCTGATCAATTTCTCAGTAATCACAATCTCGTTCCCAAGGACAGAAGAATGGATGAACTTAGGGCACACCTGAACATGTATCCAGAATTCTTTCACCAAAGTTAGATAAACATGACCCATAAGCCTGTCAAAGTACTTTGTCCAACTCTGAGTTTGAATGGTTGAGGAGAGATTAAATCCATTTTCTTCAATAGGCTCAAGGTC